GCAATTTCCTAACTTAATTTTCTTTATACGATAAAGACGTGAATGTTTTCCGTGTCATAAAACTGAAGAAAGTTTTTCTCGGTAACATTTTGTACCACACAGTCAGCTGAGAATTACATTTTTAAAATTGAAGTATTAATATTATAAACTTATCCAAAATTCCTGTGTGATTTTGTAAGGGCAATGAAGGCTGATACATTGTATTGTTTCACTTGAAGTTTGTGTATTGACGCTGAATGATCGCGTTGGACGTGCTCGACGTTGGTTGAGTTGGACTAAGCAGCGGGAGGCGGACATTCGAACTTCAATGCGTTCGCTTGTAGACCGAATTCAGGCGCTGATAGAGCACCTGTTTGTGATGAACTGTCATTTGGAGTGGACAAATTTAGGAATGCAAAGAGCAGAAGGTGAACTCTGAATGTATTTAACATTTAGCAGCAAGAATATTAAACGCGCGGCATAAGTTTCTCGGTTCGTCAACAACTTTATTACATGTAACAAAATCTGAAGAAATTATGCAGGGTATTCGTGTGTAGTATGGAAGAAGAAATATTTTTATGAATTTACGATATTCGTGGTTATATTACATTCGTCGATACAAATTTTGTTTTTATCAGTTTTGGAAAAATGTGAAAAAATTTATGTAATTGGCACAAACTTTGATATACACGTCGGAATAATTTTACCTTTACTCGCGAGACACCAGGAACTTGCAAACACAAAATATCTCTTCGGAACAAATCTGTGTGTTGCCACTTAAAGACAGGACAGGACAGGACCGGACCGGACCCTGGCTGGACAGCTGCTTAAAAAAAAGTCAAAATGAAGGTGTGAGAGACGAAGACGGTCTTTGGGCTCTTGGGAATTTGTGATCTCCGACCTGCCGCAAGAAACCCTCCCCAATTGAGAGAAAGCAATCCCCCCTTTTGGATGGGCACCATGAGGGGGTGTGAGGAGAATGTACGTCATCTTCCCTGCTGAAGAGGTCGTAGAATTAACGCTAGGAAGATCCATTTTCCACCAGCACCAGCTGTTGCACCAGCAGTACGAACAGCAATTGCAGGAAGGATTGCACACCATCAGCTTATCCCATCGAGAACTTGAAGAGCATCAGGATCTCGGGCACAGTTATCCTTCAAGACCAGGTGGGCATATATTGACCACTCCACTTCCTGTCTGACACCACGACTAATAAATTAATTCATATTTGTTTCTATTTTCAGCAAATGCCTTTGCATTAGTAATGTGATAATGAATCCTAATAATCGATTACTTTACTAGATCCGGCGTGTAATTGTAGATTTCACATGAATACTGTATTCTCGTCAAATTATAGGTCATTAGGCCTCACCTTAACCTCTTGAAGTCGAATCTCGTCTAAATAATAGTTAAAAATCCAGTCCGTACCGCGAAGAAAACCCCACACTTCACCATTACAAAGATCAACTGGTTAACGCTGTTTAAGGAAATAATCGCTGTTTATAATGAGACACGCGCTGCGTACGTAATATTAAAACATTTAGTCCGTACCGCGAAGAAAACACAACACTTCACCATTACAAAGATCAACTGGTTAACGCTGTTTAAGGAAATAATCGCTGTTTATAATGAGACACGCAATGCGTAATATTAAAACCTTGATTGCCGTGTTGTGTATTGGAATATAAAATATGCATACAAACAAAAAGTGTTCCACTATGAAGGACACTAATGCCAAACGCGTTTCGACCTCAAGAGGTCATCATCAGTGGCAAAAAGACAAGTTAATTCATATAATATAAATTTAAAGACTGTGGCTCTTTTAACAGAGCAAAAAGGAAAGTTTATTACAAAATCATATTTAGTAACACCAGATTCAAAGAACATGACCACGACATGAGATTCAACCTAACAAAATCGAGATACGCCGAACACATCCTCGACCGCAGACATGAATACGGCCCCAATGGACGATATCGTGGACGTGTTAAGAATAGCCTCGAAAGGTTAAATGCTTGACATTTTAGAGGAATTTCATAATTGTAAAACTAGAAAGAAACCAAACATCATAAACGAACAGAACGCCCATGACCTCGCAATAAACACAAAGAAGTAAATTTCATATGCGATAGTTGGCCGGCTGTTTCAGGGTTTATATATACCCCACACATTTTAAAAACTGTCAGAGATGCCCACGCATCGTTGAAGTTCATAGGCACAGACGACGCAACCACGGCTCGCCGTAGACCAATAGACTGACAGCTGAGTGCCCAATTTAACTCCTGTGCAACCAAGTCCAGTGAAGTGTTACTAAATGTGATTTTATAAAGTCCGTGCCTTTTGTGCTCAGTTAAAAAGAGCCACAGTCTTTAAATTTATATTATATGAATTAACTTGTCTATTTGCCACTGATGATCACCTCTTGAGGTCGAAACGCGTTTGGCTTTAACATCCTTCATAGTGGAACACTTTTTGTTTGTATGCGTATTTTATATACGCTAAGGGTACGTAATATTTAAGAATCCAGGCCGTACCGCGAAGAAAACACCACACTTCACCATTACAGGGATCAACTGGTTAACGCTGGATTAAGGAAATAATCGCTGTTTACAGCGAGAATCATACGAGAGACACAAATACGAAATTGTTACTGATTTCTGAAGCAGGAGTTAAATTGGCCTTCCGAGGCCAATGCCAACAGAATGAATGAGTCTGAGACACGAAGAGTTCTGTGACACTGTGTGACCTTCTAGGTAGCTGATAGTGTTTCTGAGAAACAGTCTTTATCTTCGGACTGAAGCAACCTGAAGATGTAAACACTAATTCTCCCCAAAACGTAAGTGTAAGACTGTAATCGTAAGAATTGCGGGGCGAAGGAGGCTTTAACACCTCGGACTTAATGCGTTCCTTGCAAGTCTCAAGATTACAGTCGCGTACTGCACGTACCAGTCCACAAAGAATATCAGAATGACATCGACGAATCCAGCAGAACTCACTAGAATTTACTGATTCCAGCGTTTGTTCTGCGTCGCAGTTGCCAGCGAAACTTCGTTTTCGATAAAGATCAACAGGAATTTAGTATGGAAGCTCTGCGTAAACCAAACTTCGTAATTCTTACTAATTGAATTATTGAATTCTCTGTCTCACTTCTGCACATTTGTTTCGCGGGAAAGGTCGTCGTGTTATCGGAGCTAATTTGAAGCTGCGATAAACAACGCCAAGTGATGACTCGTTCGTCTGATCCCGTTACGCGCAAATGCGCTTTTCGACTGTCTTTTGTTTACCGGGCGAAAGTGCGCGTCTCTAGAATGCAATTGGCAGCTCCTTTAATTTTTTCTTTTATTGTCTGGGGGCAGCTCGAGGCCCTTCAAGCGGTGAAAAGCCAAAATTGTCCGTGGTACGAGTAAAGGGCGGCTGAAACTCTCTTTTGACCGTAAATATTCATAATTAATTTAATAACATAATTTTCAAGTGTCGCGGATAAATTCTGTGTAAATTTGTTGAAGTAACAAATTTCTTTCTTTCTTTCTTTCTTTCTGCCAGGAACTGTGTGGAGTCCAAAGAAAAGAGTACAACAGAAGAATCAGAAGCCGAAAGCGAATCAGAAGACGAGCAGAGGAGAAGACAAAATGGCTGCCGGAGGTGACATCACGCTACGAGACGTCAGCCATCCGTCGTTAATGAAGGCGCACAGCTCCGTGACCTTCAAGCTCGTACGGACCGGTGAGTACTCTAACCAAATATTGCGATGTTCTGCGGTAGGGACGAATCCGTGCGTTCACATGCCCCTTTAGCTTGCAGGCAGAAGGAAAACAGGAATGAGACAGTTAGTTACGAAACACTGCCCCTGGGGAATAATGTTTTTAGGATGGATAGTAAATGCTTTATTCTGTTTTGCCCGCCACGACATCTCTGATTGTCCAGGTCAACTAACAGGGTCAGGGTTGGCGGAGTTAGGAAATACGTAAACAATTTTGGTGGGGAAATTGTTGCATACGTCAACTTGGAAGACCGTGAAGGAGATGGATGGATAACATTGAAATTGTATTAGGTGGACGCGATGTGATATGAGCTCAGTCTAATTGCGTCACAGGCCTTGACATTAGCTGGGTTCCTCTGTACGAGTATCAGCACTGGGTTCGAGTCCAGTCCTTTGAGTTTGTAATGTGTTCCCTCCAGTTATAATGGCGAGTGTCGTGCTCATGTGAACAATCACTCGGCTAATTGCCGTGTTAAACAAACAGCCCCCAGTCCCTTTATGCTCGGTTAAAATGCATATTTTTTATGATTTGAACATTGGAATTAAAACTATTCTTAAAATGAGACATGCTAATCGTGATGTTTGATTTTTTTTTTTAAATTCTAAAAATCCGTGCGATATTTCAGTTTTTCGTGGCGTTGAGTACGAACTCATCTGTGTTCTGGGTTGTAGCGCCACGCAGTCTGGCGGAATTTTACCGGCGTTTCGGAGGTCCTTGCTGCCTCCATCATCAGTACGATTTAGTATAACCAACCCTCGTGTTTATAAAGAGCGAGAGACTGAAGTTACTATCGTAGCATTATCATGGAGGGCCTGAGGACAGCCACGAACACTTAAAGTAACCCGTGCAATTTTCGGATCGACTTCCTTTCAAGTAGAATTCTAGATCATTACTGCCACGTGAACACTTGTCACTTGGCGACACGCAATCCGTCCATGTTTCAATCGCGCGATACAAATGAGTTCTTTAAAGCAGCTACACTCTGAGCAGCATAACACAGCGCTGTTCTCACGGGTAATTGGAAGAAGCAGGCGTCCAAAGGCAGTAGGAAGCTGGCACTTGTTTTAAAACACCCAAAAATACACAAAGCGAAGGGATAAGATTCCTGGTGAAGCGAGGAGCCCATCCGGGCGGACGGACGGGTTTGTCAAGCTCAGCCCTGACCTAGCGCCGTGCCCAACTTAGACTCCGAGTGGCCTGCTGCCAACCTCTGTCAACAGTGCTTGAACACCTAAGAACTCTTTTCACCAGGTGTCCAGGAACACAAGATTTGAAGTCCTCAAAGGTCACACCCGGAAAAGTTATCGGCGTCGATAGACTACCCGGTGTGAGGACACCTCCGCGTTCTGTCGGAGAGAAAACCCTGGTAAAACCACGGACAGTATTGGAATTTGAGGTTATCATGGCGGTAAATATCCGTTCGTTTCAGATAGAGATCGCATATTCCTGGCTTTAAAAAAATATTTCAGGTCATTTATCCTTTCAGGAAATGTTAACGAACGAGCAGAAATTTTTGAACGCAAGTAATTGTGGACGGAGCGGAGATATCGCATAGTCAGCGAGTGTTAGTGGCGTTCAGCTTTGTCTCCGCTGCTAATAATTTGTGTGCCCTCGTAGTGTCTAAAATGAAAACCTATTCTTATCAGCCGTTATCGCCAAGTGTCCATTAATCTGCGCAGTAACACGTCGAGCTACTGACATTCAGTTTTCGAGCAACTTGTGCGCGTGCCGTCAGACGAACTTTTCGTAATCACATTTGTGCGCGAACTAAGATCATAAATGCGCAGACAGTGGGAGACTGTTTTATAAAAAAGAAAAAAAAAAAAACGAATGTGATGGGCCGCCGAATCGCGCATTTAGACCGCTCACCTGTCAACAAAACACTTTTGGTTTTTCGTATGACCGCCGGAATCCAACTTTGTCGTGACGCGGAGTTGCAGATGCTTTGATCGGGGACGACAGAGACAAACCCTCACGCCAAAGTTTACTCTTCTGAAAATAATAATCCGGACAGAAAGAGACGACCATATTCGGGTGTGACTGTCATGAACCTTCGTCAGTTTGTCCTCACGTGACCTTGTTCATTTATTTTGTTAATTTGTCTTGGACGGAGCGACATTGTGACACTTGAATTTAGCCAATGAAGGCTGATTTATTTGTAGACCTGAGCTGTGTCTATGTTTAGATTCGCTTGAACTCTTTAGAATCGCAGAGAAGCAGATTAGGACAGACGCAATATTTTTTTTTCAAGCGATCTGATGATTTTCAATTATGAAAGACGGTGAATGTAAATTTGCTATTTACCCTTAAACCGCCTTCCTCGGTTGATGTCGGCAGTCCCCAGTTCAGTGCATGTAATGATACCAACTGAATTTAATATCAACCAGATTGAAACAGCTTCTATCGAATGAAATACAGACTCAATTTTACCTTTCACTCTTAATCACGTCTGTCTGCTTTACTGCGTTTTATTCGAGGCATCAAAATCGTTAAACTTATTTAAACACAAGCAAATGTCACTCTTTTGGACGAGATACATGCAAGTAATATTGAATAAAATCGGATATACGAGGTCTTTAAAGAAGAACGAGCCGCAAAGAAAACGATTTGTTAGTAATTTGCTTGTTTTAATATCTCGTTCGTAAATATTTTCCAAGACGTAACGTAGCTTTTAACTCTGTCCGGAATCCAATCCAAATTTAACAGCACGTAACTTCTGGTTCGAAACTCACTCACGGGTCAACTAACCTCAAGCTCCATGTGCGTTGAGAGTAAAATGTGAGCGACGCAGTGCTTGAAATATTCCAAGTTATTTGTGGAAGAATTTGTCTAGGCCTGCGTAGTTTACGAACCTCAGCCTCACAGGCCTATAAAACTTTTGTGGACTGTCTCATGTCAAAGTCGCTGTCGCCCTGATGATGGAGGCAGCAGGGACCTCCGAGATTGCACGACGATATAGTCCAGAAAAGAGCCATCTTCGCACTCACGTCCTACGAAGGAGACGCAGAGAAATGGTCGTTGCCCGTCTGAGCCGAGGATTGTTCTGTTAACATTGCGTGACGAAAGTGAGAGAACTGTTTAATAAATTTGCATCTCAACAGAATTGCTTTTGTTGAATGGTCGTAAGTCGGGGAATTTCAAAGCTGGTCCTAGCTTTTTTCCGCGCTCGTGTGATGTTGCGTGAATGAAAATAGAACAATTAATGGTTTTCATTTATTCCTTTTCTCTGGCGACTGGAGCCCGGTCCATAAGCTCTTCTGGAGAAACCGCCCCCTTATTCTGGAACGTGGTTTTTCCGATACGTTTTAACTGCGTTCTCACCAGAATTGCGGCGAGAGGAAGGTAAATACAAGATGTTTCCAATTTTCTTCGGTTCGCTTTTACTAGGCAGGGGTAGGCTACCCCATCCCACCCCCATTTCGTGATTGACCGGATCAGGGCTAAAGTGGGTTTAGTCAAAAACCCAGAAATGTGAAGTTTTGACACAATTGTAAAAAAAAAAATTCACTAAACTCCGCTTAAACTCAGAGGAGCTGAAATCATTCGCGGTTGGAGATGTTCCTCTGTTTTCCTTCAGACATTTCTCCTTCCTTATTCAATTTGCAGTGATAATATTCACAAATCTTCTGAAGGCGCACAGCTCCGTGACCTTCAAGCTCGTACGGACCGGTGAGTACTCTAACCAAATATTGCGATGTTCTGCGGTAGGGACGAATCCGTGCGTTCACATGCCCCTTTAGCTTGCAGGCAGAAGGAAAACAGGAATGAGACAGTTAGTTACGAATAATGTTTTTAGAATGGATAGTAAATGCTTTATTCTGTTTTGCCCGCCACGACATCTCTGATTGTCCAGGTCAACTAACAGGGTCAGGGTTGGCGGAGTTAGGAAATACGTAAACAATTTTGGTGGGGAAATTGTTGCATACGTCAACTTGGAAGACCGTGAAGGAGATGGATGGATAACATTGAAATTGTATTAGGTGGACGCGATGTGATATGAGCTCAGTCTAATTGCGTCACAGGCCTTGACATTAGCTGGGTTCCTCTGTACGAGTATCAGCACTGGGTTCGAGTCCAGTCCTTTGAGTTTGTAATGTGTTCCCTCCAGTTATAATGGCGAGTGTCGTGCTCATGTGAACAATCACTCGGCTAATTGCCGTGTTAAACAAACAGCCCCCAGTCCCTTTATGCTCGGTTAAAATGCATATTTTTTATGATTTGAACATTGGAATTAAAACTATTCTTAAAATGAGACATGCTAATCGTGATGTTTGATTTTTTTTTTTAAATTCTAAAAATCCGTGCGATATTTCAGTTTTTCGTGGCGTTGAGTACGAACTCATCTGTGTTCTGGGTTGTAGCGCCACGCAGTCTGGCGGAATTTTACCGGCGTTTCGGAGGTCCTTGCTGCCTCCATCATCAGTACGATTTAGTATAACCAACCCTCGTGTTTATAAAGAGCGAGAGACTGAAGTTACTATCGTAGCATTATCATGGAGGGCCTGAGGACAGCCACGAACACTTAAAGTAACCCGTGCAATTTTCGGATCGACTTCCTTTCAAGTAGAATTCTAGATCATTACTGCCACGTGAACACTTGTCACTTGGCGACACGCAATCCGTCCATGTTTCAATCGCGCGATACAAATGAGTTCTTTAAAGCAGCTACACTCTGAGCAGCATAACACAGCGCTGTTCTCACGGGTAATTGGAAGAAGCAGGCGTCCAAAGGCAGTAGGAAGCTGGCACTTGTTTTAAAACACCCAAAAATACACAAAGCGAAGGGATAAGATTCCTGGTGAAGCGAGGAGCCCATCCGGGCGGACGGACGGGTTTGTCAAGCTCAGCCCTGACCTAGCGCCGTGCCCAACTTAGACTCCGAGTGGCCTGCTGCCAACCTCTGTCAACAGTGCTTGAACACCTAAGAACTCTTTTCACCAGGTGTCCAGGAACACAAGATTTGAAGTCCTCAAAGGTCACACCCGGAAAAGTTATCGGCGTCGATAGACTACCCGGTGTGAGGACACCTCCGCGTTCTGTCGGAGAGAAAACCCTGGTAAAACCACGGACAGTATTGGAATTTGAGGTTATCATGGCGGTAAATATCCGTTCGTTTCAGATAGAGATCGCATATTCCTGGCTTTAAAAAAATATTTCAGGTCATTTATCCTTTCAGGAAATGTTAACGAACGAGCAGAAATTTTTGAACGCAAGTAATTGTGGACGGAGCGGAGATATCGCATAGTCAGCGAGTGTTAGTGGCGTTCAGCTTTGTCTCCGCTGCTAATAATTTGTGTGCCCTCGTAGTGTCTAAAATGAAAACCTATTCTTATCAGCCGTTATCGCCAAGTGTCCATTAATCTGCGCAGTAACACGTCGAGCTACTGACATTCAGTTTTCGAGCAACTTGTGCGCGTGCCGTCAGACGAACTTTTCGTAATCACATTTGTGCGCGAACTAAGATCATAAATGCGCAGACAGTGGGAGACTGTTTTATAAAAAAGAAAAAAAAAAACGAATGTGATGGGCCGCCGAATCGCGCATTTAGACCGCTCACCTGTCAACAAAACACTTTTGGTTTTTCGTATGACCGCCGGAATCCAACTTTGTCGTGACGCGGAGTTGCAGATGCTTTGATCGGGGACGACAGAGACAAACCCTCACGCCAAAGTTTACTCTTCTGAAAATAATAATCCGGACAGAAAGAGACGACCATATTCGGGTGTGACTGTCATGAACCTTCGTCAGTTTGTCCTCACGTGACCTTGTTCATTTATTTTGTTAATTTGTCTTGGACGGAGCGACATTGTGACACTTGAATTTAGCCAATGAAGGCTGATTTATTTGTAGACCTGAGCTGTGTCTATGTTTAGATTCGCTTGAACTCTTTAGAATCGCAGAGAAGCAGATTAGGACAGACGCAATATTTTTTTTTCAAGCGATCTGATGATTTTCAATTATGAAAGACGGTGAATGTAAATTTGCTATTTACCCTTAAACCGCCTTCCTCGGTTGATGTCGGCAGTCCCCAGTTCAGTGCATGTAATGATACCAACTGAATTTAATATCAACCAGATTGAAACAGCTTCTATCGAATGAAATACAGACTCAATTTTACCTTTCACTCTTAATCACGTCTGTCTGCTTTACTGCGTTTTATTCGAGGCATCAAAATCGTTAAACTTATTTAAACACAAGCAAATGTCACTCTTTTGGACGAGATACATGCAAGTAATATTGAATAAAATCGGATATACGAGGTCTTTAAAGAAGAACGAGCCGCAAAGAAAACGATTTGTTAGTAATTTGCTTGTTTTAATATCTCGTTCGTAAATATTTTCCAAGACGTAACGTAGCTTTTAACTCTGTCCGGAATCCAATCCAAATTTAACAGCACGTAACTTCTGGTTCGAAACTCACTCACGGGTCAACTAACCTCAAGCTCCATGTGCGTTGAGAGTAAAATGTGAGCGACGCAGTGCTTGAAATATTCCAAGTTATTTGTGGAAGAATTTGTCTAGGCCTGCGTAGTTTACGAACCTCAGCCTCACAGGCCTATAAAACTTTTGTGGACTGTCTCATGTCAAAGTCGCTGTCGCCCTGATGATGGAGGCAGCAGGGACCTCCGAGATTGCACGACGATATAGTCCAGAAAAGAGCCATCTTCGCACTCACGTCCTACGAAGGAGACGCAGAGAAATGGTCGTTGCCCGTCTGAGCCGAGGATTGTTCTGTTAACATTGCGTGACGAAAGTGAGAGAACTGTTTAATAAATTTGCATCTCAACAGAATTGCTTTTGTTGAATGGTCGTAAGTCGGGGAATTTCAAAGCTGGTCCTAGCTTTTTTCCGCGCTCGTGTGATGTTGCGTGAATGAAAATAGAACAATTAATGGTTTTCATTTATTCCTTTTCTCTGGCGACTGGAGCCCGGTCCATAAGCTCTTCTGGAGAAACCGCCCCCTTATTCTGGAACGTGGTTTTTCCGATACGTTTTAACTGCGTTCTCACCAGAATTGCGGCGAGAGGAAGGTAAATACAAGATGTTTCCAATTTTCTTCGGTTCGCTTTTACTAGGCAGGGGTAGGCTACCCCATCCCACCCCCATTTCGTGATTGACCGGATCAGGGCTAAAGTGGGTTTAGTCAAAAACCCAGAAATGTGAAGTTTTGACACAATTGTAAAAAAAAAAATTCACTAAACTCCGCTTAAACTCAGAGGAGCTGAAATCATTCGCGGTTGGAGATGTTCCTCTGTTTTCCTTCAGACATTTCTCCTTCCTTATTCAATTTGCAGTGATAATATTCACAAATCTTTCACCCTTAACTAAATATTTCCGTCCAGGGGACAATTTGATGAGTCGTTAAGTAGACTTTAACGTTTACCGCGCTCGACGAAATCTAAAGCCAATAATCGTTACCACGAGAGAGAAAGAGAGATTGAAGCTGCTAGAGAAGTGTAAATCCGTATTTATCTAAACACGGCTGAAGCCGTGTTCCGGAACACGTGCACAGGCTTGTCTGTACACTAACTGTGTTTGTGTTCTACGTCTTGTTTTGAGGAAACTGCGAAAAACTCCTCAATTTAAGAGGTATATCTCTGCTGAAGAAAGAATGCGTTTGTTACGTGATGATAAATGTAATGTCTCACGCGAAATCTGTTTAATGCGTGTAACACGCGTTAAAGACAAAATGTATTTCGGAAATAGTTTACCTCAGGGGCAAGGTTTGTCTCGGGTACACAGAAGTAAATGCCCTGTAAAATGTTGAATTATTAATAAATAATAATGACATGAGATTGTAAATTTTCCACAATAGGAAATACCAAAATGGCGGAAGAAAATTGACACTAGCGCTACTTGAAGTGGCGGGAAAATACGAAAGTTTGGTAATCTAAAAAAAATAAAATTGACGTTTACAGGGAATGAAGTTGGTATTGACCGGAATTCGATCGCGTGGCCTCAGACACACGACTTCAGTTTTTGCTGCCTCAGAGTTAACGCGTCCGCATTGATTTACGACGCTTAAAGACGACTTTATTACGTCACGGTTTGCGTGGTTCGATCATCGGGTGACGTGCAATATTTTATTAATAGTTTGAGAACTATTTCAGTCAGTAGCCCGCAAAATCGAAGATTTTGCATTCCAGCCTTGTTTTGTTTATAAATTCACATGGCTTTGTAGGTGATCAAGGCCTCTGAAAAGAAAGTACGTCTTTGTTCCAGTCTTGTCCTCTCCAGTGTTTTGTTCTCGTTTCTCCGCGCCACTGGAGGGGAACTATTTTTATGGTTTCATTTCCTGAACTTATTTTGTCAGGAGATTCGTGGAATGTTGTCGGGGAAAAAAAAGGCTACCTTCGACAATGTTTACTTGGTTAAAGCCAGTGTTTGCGGGGAATTCGCGGACTTGAGACGCTTGTTGGATTGCGTGACAGAAAAGCTGCCGGTTGTGTATCTGCTTTCAAAAAATCTTTTGGACGCGTCTGAAATACGCATGATGTTTCGGTAATTAGAAGAAATATTTTGCATTTCGCTCAGAAGTTTCTACAAAGTCTGTAAGTTTAACTTTAGAATCAAATACGAGCTAGGATATGGAAACAAACATGGCCGCTCTTCTGACACTCATTTTTAGACTGATTTCTGCTCGTCGGAAGAACTCCGACGGTAAGTCGT